ATCGATGTGTATTGGGAAGTGCAATTAGTGATGACGACGTGGCGGCAGCGGGGGTGGGAGAAGTTGCGTCCGGATTCTCGGTCGGTGCTGCCAAGGGAGGCGGCGGCGCCACCAGTCGTCGCTCCAACTTGCGAATAGCAATTAGTCTACACACGGAAGAGAAGGACGAGATGGGATGATAAGGGGTGTGTTGAGGTGGATAAATAACAGGGCAATGGACATCTACCGTTTGCTATAATCACCACGAAATGCATAGGTCTTTGGACTTAACCCGAAAAAGACTCCAGTAAGTGGCATGTGTCACTTGTGTTTAAATAATAAACTAAGAGGAATAGGTAAACTTAAGTCCGGAAAAGGGTGGGGGTAAAGAGAAATCAATCTACGAACTCTCCACCCAATAGACGGAACTTCTGAGCAAGACAATACGACGGTAGAGAACTACTTTTAACGGAACTCCTTTTTGAAATTACAGGTTCAGCTATTTTAACAATAGAGTTATCCCTTATTTGGTACTGGATTGCCAAAGACCGTCTGATAGATCCTGGATTCCATAAGATCCCTTTAAACGAGACTTAAGGACAGTTCTATCTATCCAAGAACGCTGCAAACAATAAACTGAACACATCACTTTGAACCTAGTTGGCATCCAAACGTACCGGAAGTGGGAAATACAGTCGTGGACTCTAATAGTCTGAAGAGTCCAAAGAAAATGCACAATATAGTAGTAATTTAATAGTAGCAGAGGTAAGCATCTGAAACGTATCAGCAAAAGGCTAGTACGATAGAAGCTTACCTTAGATTAATTTTTACGAGGACTATTGGCTAAATCCACGGGTTGATTTTCCATACACAATAGCCTAGGCATACAACTTACTGGAAGGAAGTGGCTGCTTATAACCTCAGTCATAAAGTCAAGCAGGACCAAATAAAGGACACCACAAAAATGCAACAAGGAATTCACGATTGTCCTCCAAACTATCATCCAAAAAAATCTAAGGAAAGTATGTGGGGCAAAAGCAAGAATCACGGATTGGATGGAAGGCTGACCTTTTTTTCAAAAACGACAGCGGTGTCTCCGTGTCACCCAGAGGTGGGGGCTTCGGGTCGACCAGCAGACGCTTGCCCACACTGTATGCACCGCGCTGCATCCTTTCGTAGCCAAGAAGATAGGTAAATACGTGTAAGACCTCCAGATCGTCATTCACTTTGACAAAAGGATAACGGCCGGTAAGGAAGGAGAGGAAAATTACGCCTACGGCCCACAAGTCGATAGCCGTAGTCTGGTCGGGGCAGCGGAGCATGACCTCGGGTGGTCGGAAGCCCAGTGTGCCTCCACGACGAGCAGCCGGG